CCCCCCCCCCCCCCCCCCCCCCCCCGCCAGAACCCTGTCAGATCTACTTTGCTGAATGCAGCACCTTTCTCTTACCTTCCAAACCACCCTGGACATTTTTTTTTTATGTTTATTTATTTTATTTTTGAGAGACGGAGTGTGAGCTGGGGAGGGGCAAAGAGAGAGGGAGGCATGGAATCTGAAGCAGGCTCCAGACTCTGAGCTGTCATTACAGAGCCTGACGCGGGGCTCGAACTCACAACCATGAGATGACCTGATCTGAAGTCAGATGCTTCGCCAACTGAGCCACCACCCCATCTGTTTGTCTACTCTTAAAAGGAGAGTAGATAAAATGTATAAAATATATAAATATATAAAATAAGGAATGGGCTCATGCTAATTCTGGAGTCTGAGATGTCCCAAGATCTATACATGGCAAGCTGAAGACCAGGAGCCAATGGTATAAATTCTAATCCAAAAGCTGGCAGGCTAAAAATCCAAGAAGGGCTAATATTTCAGTTAGAGTCATAGGGCAGGAAAAGACTGATGCCTTGGTCCCAGCAGTCACACAGGAGGGATTCCATCTTGCTCAGCCTTTCTGTTCTGTTCTATGAGGCTCACCCACATTAGGAGAGGCAATCTGCTTTACTCAGTCTACTGATTCAAATGTTAATCTCATCCAAACACCCTCACACACACACCCAGAATAACCTCTGGCCAAATTCTGGGCATCCTGTGGGCCAGTCATGTTGACACATAAAATTAACCACAACATACTGTCTGTAAATCAATCTAGTGGGGCGCCTGGCTGGCTTAGTTGGTAGATCATGCGACTCTTGATCTCGAGGTTGTAAACTTGAGAAAAATTTCTATATTGGGCATAGAAATTATTTAAAAATAAAATCTTAAAGAAAAATTTGAAAAGGATCAGTCTAGTGAGAATGGATTAGGGAACACTAATACTTAGGGAGAAAGATCAGTCAAGTAGGGGGCTTGAGTGGGAGAGGCTGAAGGTACAGAAAGGAACAATTCAATGAAAAGAAAGCAGAGAGGGATGCACAGAGCACAGGTTCAGGAAGGAGTAGCCTTGGATAAGAGAAAAACCTCTTGCACTAAATAGAAGGAACTTCCTTTCTGTCATTCAGTCAATACAGACTGAATTGAGCTCCTTCGATAATACTGAGCACTGTTCTTAGTGCTGGGGAGATAGGAGTGAACAAAACAAAGACCTAGCTCCCATGGAAAACTATAAACAAAGGAATAAATAACATGTCAGCAGTTGATTTATGCTATAAAGAAGAGTAAAACAGATTAAGACAGATTGTGGAATTTAGAGAGTGATGGTGTATGAGGTCCTTGGTATTTTATGCAGGGTGGTCAGGAAGGTCTCCCCAATAAGGCTACATTTGAGCAGAGCTGTAGACGATATGAAAGTCTCTTGCTCTCTTCTTCCAGTCTAAGATAAGTGAACATTCTTTGTGTTCCCATGATGTCTTGTGCTTAACTCTATCCTAGCACTTGCTATACATATGTATTTTTAAACATCTATTTTCTTTCTGCATCTTATATACCTATCTTCATCACCAAGTACAATGATTGGCACTCAATTATTAAACTAAATTAGCATTTAAAATTTTTTTTAATTTTTTTTTTTTTTTGAGAGACACAGAGTGCAAGTGGGGCAAAGGCAGAGAGAGAGGGAGACACAGAATCTAAAGCAGGTTCCAGGCTCTGAGCTGTCAGCACAGAGCCTGATGTAGGGCTTGAACTCAGGAACTGTGAAATCATGACTTAAGCCAAAGTCAGACACTTAACTGACTAAGTCACCCAGGCACCCCAAAATTAGCATTTGTTGAATGGCTATGACAGTTTTCAATTTATATACACTAAAATAAATTTAAGATGAAGTAATCATGTAACTGTTAAAACAATTAGACTCTGAAAAATAGTAACAGTGAATACTACAAAGAATTGATGTCCTGGGGCTCCTGGGTGACTCAGTCAGTTAAGCCTCTGACTTCAGCTCAGGTGATAATCTTGTGGTCCTGGGTTCGTGCCCTACGCTGGGCTCTGTGCTGACAGCTCAGAGCCTGGAGCCTGCTTCAGATTCTGTCTCTCTCTCTCTCTCTCTGGCCCTTCCTTGCTTGTGCTCTCTCTCTCTCAAAAATATAAATCAACATTAAAAAAAAAAAAAGAATTGATATCCTTAATATAGTAATAGTTTCTAAAACTCAACTAAGAAAATATACCCCAACAGAAAAATCAGCAAAGGACATAAATGCACTGCCAATTAGCATAATGTTAAATCTCATTGTATAAAATAAAATATAATTAAAAAATAATATATCCATCTCAAAAATGAAATTTGGCAGATTAAAAAATTCATCCAGTGTTAATGAAGGTGCAGAGAACCAAGTACCTTTGTGGACTTCTTGGTGGGTATATAAATGGCTACCACCATTTTGGAGAGCTATTTGGCAACATGTTTTAAAAGCTTTTACATTTTTTATTCTATTTCTTAAAATGTTTATTTATTTATTTGAGGGAAGAGGAGCAGAGAGAGGGAGAGAGAATCCCAAGCAGGGTCAGTGCTGTCAGTGCAGAGCCCAACATGGGACTCAAACCCATGAACTGTGAGATCATGAGCTGTACCAAAATCAAGTTGGACGCTTAACTCACTGAGCTACCTAGGCACCCCTTTCTATACTCTTTGACCCAACAATTTCACTAACTGAATTATTCTAAGGAAATGATCAGGAAAGTATGTAAATATCAAAAATACTTCGGCATTATTTATAATACAAAAAGTGAAAATAATCTAAATTTCTTACAACAGAAGATATTGATGAAATGGAACACTGTGCCGATACTATAATGTTGTAGAGTATTTAATGACTTGGAAAATTGTTTATGGTGTAATGCACTGTATTAGTTGGGGTTCTCCAGAGAAATATAACCAATACCAGATAAATAATATATAAAATAATGAATGGGTTCATGCCAATTCTGGAGTCTGAGATGTCCCAAGATCTGTACATGGCAAGCTGAAGACCAGGAGCCAATGGTATAAATTCTAATCCAAAAGCTGGCAGGCTAAAAATCCAAGAAGGGCTAATATTTCAGTTAGAGTCATAGGGCAGGAAGAGACTGATGCCTTAGCCCCAGCAGTCACACAGGAGGGATTCCATCTTGCTCAGCCTTTCTGTTCTGTTCTATGAGGCCCACCCACATTAGGGGAGGCAATCTGCTTTACTCAGTCTACTGATTCAAATGTTAATCTCATCCAAACACCCTCACAGACACACCCAGAATAACCTCTGGCCAAATTCTGGGCATCCTGTGGGCCAGTCATGCTGATACATAAAATTAACCATAACATGTACCTTCTGTAAAACTATATAATTTGTTTTTCAAAGAACTGATATAGTCATAGTTAAAAATGGAAACTATAAATTCCAGATTATTAATAATGGTGATATCAGAGTGCTGGGACTATGGATAACATTTATATTCTTTGCTTAACAACATTCAAGAAATATTGAGTACCTACTCTATGATAAAGACTATGCTAGGAACTAGGCATACAGTGGTTAATGAAGTAGATTTGGGTCCTGCCCTCACAAAATTCATAGCCTGGTATTTGTGCTTTTCCTTATTTTATATAATTTCCACAATCAACCTGTTACTTATAATCAGGGGGAGAAGCTTGTGATAGTTTTGCATGCTTTATCTCATGTAATTCTCACAACTGTATGAGATGGGTATTACTGTCATTTCTCTTTTATGTATGGGGAAACTGAGTCAAGTGAAGTTAAGTGGCCTGCCCCAAAGCATAGCTGGTGTGTGTAGGAACAGGATTCAAACCCAGATAGTGGGACGGCAGAGCTTACAGCCTTCATCAACAGTGCAGCATGAGCTAACTTCTGTTTTTTAAAAGATTGTTATTGTTTTTTTTCCATTCTGCTTTTCTATGTTTTCCATTTTCTACAACAAAAGTAGATTATTTTTATAATTTAAGAACATTTTTACGTCTTCAATTTAATATCACATGGATAATATTTTTGTTGTTTGGGGGTTTTTTGTTTTTTGTTTTTAAGTAGGCTCCATGCCCAGTGTGGGGCTTGAACTCCTGACTCCAAGATTGAATCACATGCTCTACTGACTAAGCCAGCCAGGCACACTTACCTGGATAATAATCTTATCCATATAGTCCAATAGAATAATTGACCTAAATACAGAAGAATATACAACCTGCTGGTCAAGATAACTCAAAAGTTTGAACTGGATTATGATTATTAGCTTTGAATCATTTTTCAGAGTATCCTTGAATTTATATTTTGAATGAATACAAATGAGACAATGAATGTCTAAACATTTATGTGATTTTTCTCGAACCAAGTAGTAAATTACAGAGACAGTATTCAATTTCAATTCTTTGAATCCCAGGTCATTGCTCTTTTCATTAACTCAGGCTGTATTCATCAAAGAGGTAGCTGGATGACCTTGGGCAAATCACTTAATTTTCCTGATTGTAGG